GGGGGTTGGGATATTTGAGGCTTAATAGTAGTTTCAGTATCTGACTCATAATCAGAACCATAGTCACTGCAATTTTCTGATCCACTTTCAGATATATTATCACTATAGACATCTGAGTCACTTGAATAATCATTGGTTTTCCCGCTCCTGTACCACTCGAGTTGTGCACTTTGTTTACTCATTTTTCATATTTGGTTTTTTTATGCTATAAATGTATCAGTTAACAAAGTTATATTATCCCAATATATTTTCAAAAGTTTAAATTAATTTTTTCGGTCAGTATACAGTGATATCAAAAAAGATGCATTGAGTTTTAGTAAGATGAATGAAGAGAATTGTGATCTCGATTAGTGAATACTTTGGGTATATAAGTTCGGTAATATATTATAAGAATTATGGAAGTTATATACCCATTTTGATAGTATGTGCTCGGGGTGTATAACTTCAGTAATATTATATAAGAAAAATGTGAGTTATATACCCATTTCGATATATGTTTTCAGGATATGTGATCAGGTGTAGTAATATGCAATAATATATTAAGAAAAATGGCAGAACACTACACCTTTTTCGGGGTGTATAACTTCGGTAGTATTATATAATAATTATGGGAGTTATATACCCGTCTTCTTATATATTTAGTCGAAGTTTACTATTTTTTATCACCCATTTCTATGGTATGTTCTCGGACATATTTATGGTGTCAAAAATTTCAGCAATAAAAATTGGCATACTTTAATATAATCTACTCATTAGCATAACCAGATAGCATGTATATAACATAGCTCGATAGCATTTTTTTGTGATATACTCTATTGCTTTGTATCTAGCATACATATAGTATATCCCAATTGCATTAATTTTCTATTAAATATTCTATGCGATATATATTGTTAAAGAATTTAGCATAGATATGATTGATCTATTTGGTGTCGAAGAAGTATACAATAAGGAATATGAAGTTGAAGACTGTCATGTTTACAGGAATTCTCCTATGTGTACACCATGTAAAAAGTGTAGTAAGTTAATGCATGCTGGTAAGTATCGATTCCGAGATCATTATCAGTGAAAAAGGCTAGAGAAAATGACAGAAAAATCATAAGTGCTTAAAGAAAACTCATGGCGATATTGATATCATATCCAATAGCATTTGCGCAATTAATTTTTCTATTAAATATTCTATGCGGTATATAAAATGACAACAATGGTTAAGCAAAATCTCAACAGTATTCCAGCTTTCAATAAACTCAGACAAGAATTAATGAAAGAACTTGAGCCTATAATTGGGTCTATAATTGATACTTATACAAAAGAGATAGAACAAATATATGACTCTGCAATCGATGATATGTTCTCGGGTAGAAAACTTGTTTATAAATCCACGATCAAGAACTCCGTCCTCTCTAATGATGCATAAATCGCAAGATGTACTATTACTTTTTTTTGCTCATGTGAACCAGCAATGGAAATCGACCATGACTAGACTACTGTTTTGATATATGTCAGTTCGAGTGTGGCCTGATGACAAAAGTTAGCCACCGACATCATGTGGCCAAAATTATGAGATCGACTACCTTTGAATGTAGCCAGAATTATAAGATCGAACACTTTCAAATGTGGCCAAAATTATGAGATCGATCACTTTCGAATGTGGCCAAAATTATAAGATTGATCACTTTCGAATATGGTCAAAATTATGAAATCGACTACCTTTGAATGCAGCCAAAATTACAATTTAGGCCCCATGGTATAGTTATAATTCACACTAAGTGGTATAGTTGTAATCTGTACAGATTACAACTATATCACTAATGGGGTTTTCTATAAAATAAAGAATTAGATTATTCCACAGGATCAAGTTGATATATCTTGGCTTGAATTTAGGTTTGATGAAGATAATAGATATACACTTTTATATTATAATTTGTATAATTTTTAAAGTTAGAATAACAAAACTAACTTTCACATATTTCTTAAAAAAGATGAAAGGTATTAGAATAATTTTTTATTGCTTCTAACTTTAATGGTGAAGTAGAAGAGTATTATTAAATAATATCATAAATAATAATAATTCTTACAATTATCAAAAAATAAATATATATAATAATTCTTACAATTATCAAAGAACAAAAATATATAATATATCAAAAAACTTAAAAAAAAAGAAATAAAGATATATACAGTGGTACCCGAAATTATTTGGAATTTTTTTTAATATATATAGTATATATATATTTCAATATAAAAATTGTTTCTATTTATAACAAATTTCTTTTTTAGAAAATATTCTTTAAGAAATTTCAAAGTCACCTTTACTAAATAAAAACTTGTCAAGCTTTAAAGCTTATAAACATCAAAATAATTACAGAACTATAAAGATATAACAAATATCTTTTTTTTTTTTTAGATAAATAGACATTCAATATCTGGTTTTATTAAATTTTTTTATATTTAAACTATATATTTAAATAGTCTTATATATACTAATATTACTATTAACTATAAGTTTAACCATAATCAATTTACTTTTTTAATCTAACTATATAAACTTTATATAAGAAATAAGATTCATATATTAGATAAAATTATATAAAAAATGAAAATCCTACCATTAGTTTTAAATCTCCTAACCTACTAATTCATTTTGTTAAAGGATATCTTTTTAGAAACATATGTTTGAACCTATAAGAAAAATCTTATTTTAAAATTCTTTATTATAAATATTATAATATAATTATAAACACTAATAAAAAGAAAGAAAATTATAATATTTATTTGAACTTATTAACAAATACTATTATATTATACAATAGGTCTCCAAATTTTTTACTATTAAAATAATTCTGATAAGCTTATTAACCTTTTGCTAAATATCAACTAGTAATCAAGAAATGAAGTTAAATAGAAATCTTATCTAGCTATATTTATCAAAATAGAAATATAAGACAAAAGTTTTCTCAGATTTAATAAAATTGCAAAACTTAAAAAGGATTATTAGAGAGAATATAAAAAACTTGAATATAGATTTCAAAGAATTTATAAAGAAAAATACAAAATTGCAGAACTTAATAAAGAAATTAAATCCAAAATCAAATGTTTCCTATTATTGTTTACTTAAAATATATCAATATATTTGATTTTAATCTACTGTATATCAATATATTTGATTTTAATCTACTGTATATCTCTTAATATAAATTATAAAGTATAGCTGCAATTATTTATACTATTTTAAAGAGCACAACAAATTAGATTATCATGTTTCCAAAAATACAAAAAATGTTTCAAAATGACTTGCTAAAACTAAGGCTCCAAAAATATTGAATTAGTACTGAAGTGATATTGAAATAATACTAATCTATAATAAATTTAAGTATCAAACTAATATCAAAGTAATATTGAAATGATACCATTAGAAGCTTTAGCTAAAACTACTTCCATCTTTTTTACAAATAAAGATCAAAATTCTTTATAGAATTTCTATTCTCAATAAAAATATTATTGCAAGTATAACAGAATTGTTCTATTGTTTTTATAAATTTATTTTTTTTCTAACTTATACTTTATAATACTTCCAAATCTATTAAATAATTCATAAAACCTTTTTAAAGAAATTTCTTATTTCTTTTCAATCAAGAAAAAAGATTTCAGAAATATAAGAAATGTAATTAAAGAATTTAAAAAATTTTTCAATATATTATAATCTTTTATTATTCAAAATTTCTTTTTTATCTATTTTAATCAACTTGAATCAAAGTTTATATATTTTTTTTATTAGACATTATTATATACAATATTAGTAAAGTAATTAAAAACCTCAGATCTAAATATTTTTTTTAAATATCTTTTTCCCAATTTTTTCAAATCTAAAAAACTTTTTCCAGAATTTCTATCCATTATCAATTAATATATATATAAACTAGAAATTCAAATTTTTATTACAAACTATTACAATATCCAATTTCCAATTAAGAATCTGAGATCTAACTATTAGTTTTTACTTCATCTAGTATTACTTTAAATCAATTTAAAAATTCTATAAACCAACAAATCAAATTTCAATATAAGTTTAATAATATAAATCTTAATTTAAAAATTAAACAAATTTTCTATAACTATATTTATTTCAAAGAAAAATTAAGATATTTTATAATTACTATATGTTCTAAAGAGTTTAAGAAGATTAATTTGTTAATTTAAAAATTAATATATAGAAGATTTAACAAAAATCAATAAAATCTTAAAAAAAAAAAACTTAATAACTTTCAAGTTTTTTCTAATTAATAATAATATATTTTAACAATTATTTTTTAATTATATTAAATATTTTTTTTTTTTAGACTTCCTGATTTCTTATTATTAAAAAAATATTTTTTGAATTAGAGTTTGATCTTATTTTCTTTTTAGAATAATTAATTAAAAGTTCAAAAATCACTATTTATAATTTTACAACTATATACAGAAATTTTTTTATTTCTCCATATATTTATTCTCAATTTCTATTTTCAAATAACACTAATTATAAATCCAACTCAATTATATAATTTAACAATATTAATATCTCTTTCTTTTCTTCTTATATTAACAATTATATATTTCAAATTAATACTACTATATAAGAATCTAAATCAAATATAATTAAAAACTTAATTATATTTATAATTATTAATACAAAAGGTTTAAACTATATATGTAATGAAATTAAATATAAATATTTTTCAAAAATCATATTATAGTAAATTTACTAAATAATATATAATAAATAATTAAAAATTATATTTAATTCAAAATTGTATTATCAATTAAATTTTCTTTTATGGTAATATAAAAACATGTATAAGTTAAAAAACCCTTACAATCTTAATATCTTGATAAATTATATTAGTAACAGGTTTATTATATTTTATATAAAAATTAAACTCAAACAAAAAGATTATTATTTTAAAAGAATGATAGTAGTTAGTAATACTGTATATAGAAACTTCAAAACATCTACAAATTTTTTTTTTTTTATAATAGGTAGCTTATACCTTGTTTATTGAATATTGTTTGAGCATATACAACTTTGTAAAATACAAAATTTTAAACTCTATCTATTCTTTAAACTCACTAAAGGTTACCCTTACCATGCGGCTTATTGCCAAAAGAAATTTATTGATATATCTTTGACTAATTTGCCAAGGCTCTATCAATCCCTATTAAAAGAAA